ATTTTATTTTACAATTTTACAATAAAAATAGTAAAGGAAAAATGTCAAAATAATTTTGGGGAAAATCTCACTTTTTAGACATCCATGAACAGGCTAGAAACCCTACAGAAGAAAATATGATCTTGTACTATTAACTCCCTTCTCTCTTACTCTGATCTAAGTTAATCTGGGTAAACAGTGAGGCCTAAGTTGCTTGCTGCCCAATAAATGTTGTCTTGTGACTTTACAAATGAGGAAAAATAGTATGCAGATGGGTTAAAATGACTGTCTCCGTTCGCATAGATAATGGCAGCTTCTAGCACACAACTCTTTCCAACCACTGACACAGAATGTCAGAATTGAAGGAATGCAGAAGCAAGCAGCTGTTCTAGTGTAAGGTCATTGCAGAAGACATTGTGGAGGAATTGAACTTGAAAAGAGCTATGCTTATTTTTAAACCAGATCTTACTTTTCCACCCAAATAATGCTTGCTACCAATAGAAAATTTGAGGAATTCTGAAAATTACAAGAAAACATAACTCATTATCACTTCCATAAAAGCAGTGCTACTGATACAGTTCTCTGAAATCTTTCAAATTTTTGCTTGTTGCTCTTGTAATCCTACTATTTCTCAAGGAACATTATGACTCAAGGACTCCTCATTGTTATGATAAACTCTTTATAAATCTGATTTTGATTGCTACATAAGAGTCTATGAAAGAAGTTTTGCAATGGTTTTCTTAACCTAGCTCCTTAGTTTTGAATAATCAAGAGGAAGAGAAAGAGCATTATCTAGCCAGGCACCTGTGGTTCACGCCTGTAATCCTAGCTAGTCAGGAGGCTGAGATCTGAGGATAACAGTTCAAAACCAGCCCTAGCAGGAAACTCTGTGAGACTCTTATCTCCAATAAGCCACTAGAAAACCAGAAGTGGTGCTGTGGCTCAAGCGATAGAGCCCTTACCTTGAGCTGAAGAGTGCAGGGATAGTGCCCAAGCCCAGAATTCAAGCCCCATGACCGACGAAAAAAATAAAAAATAAAAAATAAAAAAGCACTATCTAGAAGAATGAATTACAAAAAATGAAACCATCAACTACTACCAGCACATTTGGTTGAATTTTAAGGTTGTAGGCAAACTTGCTTTTATTCTTTATATTTTTCTCACTTGTGCAAAGGCACTAATAAGAATACCTACTTTTATTGAGCATCTATAATGCTTTTCATGTGACAGATACATTTTCTCATTTAATTACTATAACAAGTAATCTAAATTTCTGTTGCATCTTCATTTGAAAAATCAGGTTGAGGCTGGGAAGGTGGCTCAGTGGTAGAGCACTTGCCTTGCATGCATGAGGCCCTGGGTTCGATTCCTCAGCACCACATAAGCAAAAAGAAAAAAGCCGGAAGTGGCGCTGTGGCTCAAGTGGTAGAGCGCTAGCCTTGAGCTGAAGAGCTGAGGGACAGCGCCCAGGCCCAGAGTTCAGGCCCCACAACCAGACACCCCCCCCCCCCAAAAAAAAAAAGAAAGAAAGAAAGAAAAATCAGGTAAAATGAGAATCTGAGGGGTTTTGAATCCAGAACCATCTGAGGAGAAAAGTAGTCTTCTTAACCTTAAATACTGCAGATCCCAAGTGTTTTGTGAATTTGTAATATTGCTGTCATTAAACAGCTCTTAAAAATGGAAACAGATTGCAAACAGTGGCTCACTTCTGATATGTAAGCAAATAACTTGTTATGTGTTGACTGTGAAAAAGTCTACCCAAATCCCAGGACAGCCAAAAAAAAAAAAAAAGAATCAGAAAGGGAAAAAAACTCATCAATAAATACAATCCCCCTTGGTCATGTTTAAATTGTTTAAAATGCAAATACGCTTCTGATTTCTCTAAAATGGTCAGAGGAAGCTGTGTTAATTGCAGCTACATAAATAAATTCTGGATTTTGAGACTGGGTGAAAATTGATTATGCTAAAAAGTATTCTTCTGTAATTAAATGAAAATTGTGCTGTCAGCAGTAACTTACTTTGAGTGGAATCAAGAAATCTTGGTGTGTTTCATTACATAAGATCCTGGCAGACTCACCTCAGCTGAGGTTCTGTTTTCCATAGCAGTTGCATTTATGACTGCAGGAAAAGTGACACATTGTTTGGTCATGCAATGTAGGACATCATGAAGCCTTACCATGCTTTCATTCAGAAGATGTGTGTTACACTTCAAATTCCCAGGACTCACATCCAGAGGAATGTATGTAGTTCACAATGTGTCCACAGACACAAGAATGTATATGGACACAAGCATGTGGACACATTGGCTTCTGTCATGGTCAGGAGCTTTAGGAAAATCAGTTAACATAAAATTCACTTGGTAGACTTTTTTTTAATTTCTAATTCAGACACGTTGAAACCACATCTTTAAAAAAAAACTATTAAAGAAGAAACCTCTGCAATTTTTTTCAAAAACTTAATAGCAAATGATACTCAGGTTCTATACTATTTTAAAAGAGAAAGGTAATGTATTTTTGTTTCTTCTTGTTTTTACCTTGTCTGATTATAAGTGCAAAGCATATTCATCACAGAAAATTCATTTGGAAAGTACAAAATGTGTAAAGAAACTAGAACATCACCCATCATTCCCTTTTTCAAAGAAAGACTCAATAACGTAGTTCCTCCTTTTTTCTACCCATCTTTTATATATCTGAAATTTATTTTTTGCTTGTGCAATTTGGTGATCTACAAGAAAGATGCCTCAGGGGAGAAATCTTACACTGCATCTCTAACTTTAGCAGGTATGCCTACTGTAGTGGGAACTCAGAGTAGCTCAGACAGAGATTGTCAAGCTGCCTACTGGCATGAGCCTTCATGTGGGAAGTCTGTGATAAAAGAACAAAACCCATTTCTGTGGTAAGAGTGAATATTCCAGACCTAACTAAGGAGGAGGTCATGATGAACTATATTCTTAGTAGCTTGGGATGAATCATATTGGCCTAGCCCTTATTCCCTAAATCCTTTCATCCAAAAGAGACAAGGAGAACTCTTGCTTCAGGTCACCACCCAGGCAGGCCAGGAGGCTTGATGGAGAAGGATAACCTCAAGTCAGGTTGAGGTTATGGGCAAGTCAGAGATTTAAAGTGACCAAAGAGTTGGGATTTGAAAATAAAGATTATGAATTTTATTTCCAGACTCAAGTGTTCAACACTGTTTGTTTTGTTTTGTTGAAAGAAAATAAAATGGTTTTCAAGCCCATGGAAAGTAACTTAGCCTTGGACACAAAATCTGAAAGTCTTATATAGTATGCTAGAAAACAAAGGAAGAATCTCTGCCCTCTTGTCTGTCATGGTGATTATTGAAAACTATCAATCCCAAAGTGGTTCCTGTAAATTCATAGTCTGTCTCTTTCCCTACCATTTGGTGATTAAAGTTCAATCTAGCCTCCACCTAGGCCCCGTGGGACACCTTCAGTCATGCTGTCTGAGATCAGGCTACTGGAGGAATAGGGATATATAAAAGCTGAGAACCAGTGTCCTAATACTGACCACTTCTTTCTTTTTTTTTTTTGACCACTTCTTTCTTTACTCCTGTTTGGTCTTATCACAGAACCAGCCACTGACCACCTCTTCTTCTACTCCTGATTCACTTATCTCTTAATCTCTCTCTCCCTCTCCCTCTCTCTCTCTCTCTCTCTCTCTGTCTCTCTGTCTCTCTTTCTCTCTTTGTCTCTGTCTCTCTGTCTCTGTATCTCTCTGTCTCTCTGTCTCTCTCTGTGTCTGTGTGTGTGTGTGTGTGTGTGTGTGTGTGTGTGTATTGGAGTGTGAGCTCAGGGCCTCTTGTCTCATTCCACTCTCTTATTTACAGCTTACTTCTTCCTCTCCTCTCTTCTAAAAGTACCCACTTCCAGCTTAATAAATACAAGCCAACCAAGGCAGCTCCTGTAGAGAAATTCTGCTTCCTTTAGGAGAAGAAATGTCCTAGTTTCCATTATAGGTCATCCACGGGGAAGTTAAAAAGAAAATAATACACAGTATTATTTTTCAAAGAATTATGCTGACACAGAAAAGACCTAAAGGAGGTCTTTAAGGCTAGGTTCACACCAAAACTAGGGTCCTTCATCCTCTATAACTCAGAGCGAAGGTTTTCCATTGGCTGAAACATCGGTTTGGAAGCCAGGTAGAATTCAGATTCTGTGAATTCTACCTTTGAGACCATAACATCTAGGTTCAGTGGTTTCCTAGCACAGATTGTCTTCACAAGTCACTGCCCACAGAGCTCCAGAGCAGCTGTTCTCATCTTCTATTCAAGGACCCATGCTGGTAGAGGCCTTCTTTCTCAAAGTGTCTGGTATATCACCTAAAACTGTTTGTGACTGCAGAGAACCCCAATTTATGGTAGCTTAAGTTGTAATTTTTCAACTCTACAATGGTACAAAAGTGGGACACATTCAGTAGAATCGTACTTTGACCTGTCCAAGGCTAGCCATATCTGGTACAATAATACTCTGTCACAATCTAGGGCGACAGCCACTTCCAGTAAGCCAAATAATCAAAGAGCAATTACCTGTGGGTTTGATACCCAGCACTGCAAAACAAACAAAACACTAAGAGTAAATGCCTGAATCTCTACAATGTATTGTGTGGCTAAGCTATGTTGGTCAGCAGCTTAGGTATATTAATACATTTTCTACTTTTCTTATTATTTTACTTAAAGACTAACTACATAACTACCTAGTACCACATAATAAGAAAAAGCATCTGCAGTGGATTTTTAGCTGATTTTTTGGTATATGTGATTCTGGACCTTTGGCTGGTAGTTATTTTCTTACTAGAAAATCTCATAGCTGATTCACTTCAACACTTGGACCATTGCATACCCTGCAGAAGATTGTCAACCATTTGTTGGGTGTGGCCAGCCTGAATACATTCTTTCACTTCAGAACTCATTTTGATATCTGAGGAAAACTATCTCTGGGAATAAACCCAATAATATAGCTTAAAAAAAATCTTTCTCTCTTCATTTTCTTCCCCACCTCCTAGTCAGATACAGAGTTTTGGGATAAGATGCAAGCAGAGTGGGAAGAGATGGCCCGGAGGAATTGGATATCTGAGAACCAAGAAGCCCAGAACCAAGTCACAATCTCAGCAAGTGAGAAGGTAACCAACCGTTTCTCTTCTCTTGTTACGCATGCTGAATAGTTTCCTTATTTTCTTCAGATCCTGTTTTATAGAGCAGTCAATACTTTTTTGCTGGAATGAAATGCTCCTAGATAGTATGGCAGCCAAGCAGAATTTGGATCCTGTCTGGTGGGGCTGTGGAAGTAACTAATATTCAGAATAAACTTGAACAAGAGCTTTTCCTAACCCTACAATATATCAGACAGTCACATTAGTCTGTTTGATAGACCAACAGAAGAGATATGAGTCACAAGGGAGGGAGGAGTGAGATTTAGTTTAGGTATACTTCATAGGTGGCCATTGAAAGACTAGAAAAGAATCTCTGTGCCAAAGGTTATGGTCACACAATTAAGTCAATCCTCAAGGAAATTCCTTAGAGATACTTCTCTGATGGCAGCCCCAGAAAATGTACAGTCAGGCAACAACCTGTTACCTATGATGTCCAGCTGCTATCAAATCTATGCCTTAGAAAACAAACACTTGGTGGAGATAAAACACTTGTGAAATTAGTATAAATGAGTTGAAACATGAAATGTGTATATTTCTTACATTTAAAACTCATACATGTACTCCAATTAGAATGACTATAATCAAGAATTTTAATAACAACAGATGCTGAAGGGGATGTGAACAGAAGGGAACCCTACTGCATTGTTGGTGGGAGTGTAAACTTGTTCAACTACTTTCAAAAGTAGTATGGAGGTTCCTCAAAAGACTCCACATAGAGCTCCCCTATGACCCAGCAATCCCACTTTGGGGCATTTACCCAAATGATCACAAACAAGACCATACTAAAGCTACCAGAACAACTATGTTTATTGCAGTATTATTTACCATAGCTAAGATACAGAACCAACCCAGATGCCCCTCAGTAGATGAATGGATCAAGAAAACATGGTATATATACACAATGGAATTCTATGCCTCCATCAGAAAGAATGACATTGCCGCATTTGTTAGGAAATGGACAGACTTGGAAAAAAATATATTAAGTGATGTAAGCCAGGCCCAAAGAAACATAGGTCCTATGGTTTCCCTTATTTGCAATAACTAGGATATGTCTGGGACAAACAGAAACCGTCAGATAAGATGATGTTAAGGGAAATGAACCCCAGGATAGGGACTTAAGTGGTTTTTTCTTCCATACTATTATTTCTAACGAATTTTAAGGTTCATGTGATTTTTTTGTTGCTTTGTATGTCCCTCCCCCATGGTATAACCCATGTTTTCACTGTATTTGATGTTGGTATAGTTTGGGGAGGGGAAGGGAAAAAATATGTTTAAATAGGGATACAAATTGACCCATTTCAACAATGAGATGTACAAGACCCTATGTTGAAAAACGAACTTTACAATTTAGGTGGGCGAGGGAAAGGGTGTAGGGAGGGTGTAGTTGAGGAGGTGGGAGGGACGGGATGGTAGGGGAAAAACAAAGGAGGAAGCAACAGTTTTGGATAAGAAATGTACTCATTACCTTGTTCATGTAACTGTAATCCCTCTGTACAGTATTTTCACAATAAACTTATTTTTTTAAGTTATAATAAAAAACTCATACATGTGTGTATGTGTATAGATCTAGTCATCTCATTATGTGGAGTAATTCTCAATAATATTCAGTTCTGATGCCTTCCATGATGTTTTGTTAATATTTATCAAGTATTTACTTTGCACTGTGCATTGAGGATGTGATGATGAACAGACTGATTTTAGAGGATTTGCCATCTGTGTAGTGATTAAAATGTCTCTCTCTACCCACAAGTCTCTGACCCTCAGTAGATAAAATAATCTCAGTTATTAGAAACAGCTGTTTTCCACAAAGAATTCAAAGTTAGGTAAGAAGAATAAACACTAATGCATATCATCAGACACTGGGCCATAATGCCAGCCCCTGAGGCCGGGCTGGGACCCTGAATCCCTGTTTCTATACCACTACTACATAATCAAATCCTGTGGATTTTGAATTAAGGTCTCATTTCTCTATGCAGCTATAGGAAAGGTCTCCATTTGATGTTTTTAGAGCTTAGCAATATCATCAACAGGTTATCTTATTTGTATCAAATTGGAAGGATTTAATGATGACCAATGCTAGTAAGGTTGCAATAAATAATATTCTCAGATACTTCAGATAAGAGTTCAACTCAAACACAGTTCAGCTGTATGTATAAGGACCTAATGAATTGTCTATATAGCTTTTAACTAAATAAGTCCCTCTAGGAGCCAATCCTAAAATGATCATCAAATTCAAACAAATCTTTGAGCATGAAGCTTTCTCTGTAGCTTTTCTTATAATGCAGAAGCTTTTTTCATTTTTGTGGTGGTTTTTTGTCAGTTGTGGGGCTTGTGTTCAAGGCTAGTGCTCTACCACTTTGAGCCAGCTCAATTTCTGATTTTCTGGTGGTTAATTGGAGATAAGAGTCTCATGGGCTCTCCTTCCTGGGATGGAAACAAGATCCTCAGCTCTGGGTCTCCAGACTAGCTGAGACTACAGGCATGAGCCACCAGTGCCCAGCTGAAGAAGTTTTTGAATAACCAAATATTCATCAGTAAGAACTGACTAATTCAATTGAGTATATCCATAAAAACTTAAAGAAATAAAAATTTAGTGAGGCCTGATAGGACTACAAATGAACATTTTGTTTAATTTATGTGCAGAGAAAATCCTAGATGATTATGTCTATATCCTATATTGCTCACATTTTTCCCAATTAAAAAAAAAATCTCTGTATTTAAAGGATACGTATTTTGGGCTGGGAAGGTGGCTCAGTGGTAGAGCGCTTGCCTTGCATGCATGAGGCCCTAAGTTTGATTCCTCAGCACCACATAAGCAGAAAAAAAAACCCTGAAGTGGCGCTGTGGCTCAAATGGTAGAGTGCTAGCTTTGAGCTGAAGAGCTGAGGGACAGTGCCCAGGCCTAGAGTTAAGGCCCCACGACTGGACCCAAAAATAAAATAAAATAAAATAAAAAATAAAAGATACATATTTTATCAGGGATGATACATCCTTCAGGGGGCAAAAACTTGCTCTGTGCCAGACCAAAAATACAACTATGACAAAATATAAGTATGACACAGTTTGTAGTTCTTCAAAAGGGCTTAGTGCCTAAATAGATGTACAATATGTGGTACATTTCAGAGGGGTGGGCAGCAGCAGCACTTAGCTGCTTTGGACAAAACTTTGTCCAAAGAAGCAGAAATTTTAAAGGAATAACTAAAAAGAGCAAAAGAAATATCAGAAGGAAATCAAACTCCAAAATATCAGTGCTGATCATTTTTAGATTGTGGAATTCTGGATAACTTAGTTTCTTTGTATATTATTCCATATTACTTAAAAATCATACAATGAAAATGTATTGTACTTTTACTAAAGAAAACCTGGAATTAAAATTTTATACATTTTATTGTTATTGTAATGTTGATGTACAAAGGGGTTACTGTTATATGAGTCAGATAAAGTGTACATTTCTTTTTGAACAATGTCAACCCTTCCCTTGCTCCCTCCTAGTTTTTCCCACCCATCCCTACCCACAAGTTGTATAGTTTATTTTCAGCATAGTGTCTAAGTTAGTACCACTGCTGTATTTGTTCACCCTTTGTCCCTCCATTTCTGGGCCCCTCCTTACCCTCCTGAAAACAGATAAATGAACAAGAAAGACAAAAGGAAAGGTAAACAAAAACGCAACAAAGAAAAATAAACCTCGTTTCCATTTCCTGGAGTTCATTTCAATAGATACCATTTTACATGATCAGATGCACATTGGTATTGTGCCTTTGTGTTCTTCTCCTAAGATTATCCTCCTTTGGTTTCACGTTGTGTGACTGCCTAGAGATCTGTATAATTTATCATGTCCCAGTATATTTTTTGAGTCATTTAAATTTAATAAATTTATCTAAACTTATCAAAAATTTAAAATTAACTAGATCATACTGAGTGTAAGAACATGGGGATCAAATGACAGATTGTGCAATGACCCATCTTAATGTTGTAGGGATATTACTTTCACACTGAAAACCCCTTCAAGGACTGGCCTGGAGCATTTGAAGAAGGCTTAAAAAGGCTGAAGGAGGGAGACCTGCCAGTCACCATCCTGTTCATGGAGGCAGCAATTCTTCAGGACCCTGGAGATGCAGAGGTGGCACATACTTCTCCTTTTGTCAGACTCAGAAAGTGGCTATCTGTGTTAAGGAGACAAGCAAGCCCCTAGAGGACTCACAGTCATGCTTTCTTTTCCTCTGATGTGGGAAAAATGGACAGAAACAGATATGGTTAACCCCAAAGTGCTTCCACCAGCCTATCTCAGCCTATCTCTCCAAACCCATGAAGATGGTGGTTGAGTTTCTAGACTCAGTTATCTAAGTACATTAGGTTCAGACTCCTATGCTACCTGAGACAAATCCCTGACACCTAAGACAAACCATTGAAACCTTTTAAGTTTTAAGTTTCAGCTCTCTCTCTCTCTCTCTTTATTTCTGTATGTGTGTGTCTCTGTCTTTCTCTCTGTCTCTCTCTCACACACATACCACACACATACACACACACACACACACACACACACACACACACACACACTTTTTTTTTAGTCGGTCATGGGGCTTGAACTCTGGGCCTGGGCATTGTCCCTAAGCTCTCCAGATAAAGGCAACCACTTGAGCCACAGCGCCACTTCTCGTTTTCTGGTGGTTTATTGGAGATAAGAGTCTCATAGACTGGGCTGAGAAGGTGGCTCAGTGGTAGAGCGCTTGCCTTACATGCTCAAGGCCCTGGGTTCGATTCCTCAGCACCACATAAGGAAAAAGAAAAAAGCTGGAAGTGGTGCTGTGAGTGCTAGCCTTGAGCTGAAGAGCTGAGGGACAGTGCCCAGGCCCAGAGTTCAGGCCCCACGACCAGACCCCCCCCCCCCAAAAAAAAAACAAAAAGAGTCTCACAGACTTTCCTGCCCAGGCTGGCTTTGAACCACAATCCTCAGATCTCAGCCTCATGAGTAACTAGGATTTATAAGCGTGAACCACCAGCACCCAGTTAAGTTTCAGCTCTCTTATATGTAAAATGGAAATCATCATAGTAACTATCTCATTAGGTGTTTGCAAAGATTAAAATAGATCACACTAACAAACAAGTCAGCCTAGTTCCTGCCACATCGATATTTGAGCCTTCATTATTATTCATCATGATTGGTTTATGTACCAAGAATAAGTAAACTTGTCTGTAATAGTATTCTAAATATCTTGTTCATCAAATTTCTTAAAAAATTGTTTTATCTGTACTGGAGTTTGAACTCAGAGCTTTGTGTTTACTAGGTAAACACTCTACAGCTTGAGCCATGTAGTCTAAAGTAAAGTAAAATTGAACTAAGAATTGGAAGTGTGAACGAAAATATTGTGATTTGTATACGTGTGTGTGTGTTTAGCCTTTCCCACTCAAGGCTAGCACTTTACCACTTGAGCCATAGCTCAACTTCTGGCTTTTTAGTGGTTTGTTGAAGCTAAAAGAGTCTCACAAACTTTCCTTCCTGGGCTGGCTTTGAATCATGGTCCTCAGATCTTAGCCTCTTGAGTAGGAGGAATTACAGATGTGAGCTACTTAGAGCCCTCCTAAAATGTTTTTATTTTTGAAAGATATATGAAATACTATAATTATTGATAAGTACAATGTATTTTATGAACTTTTGTGTATGTGTTACATTATTTGACACAACAAAGGTAAAGGAAACCAAAGGTAAAGGAAGGTAAAGGAAAAAGTATACATTTCCATATCAAATTCATAAGTGAAAAAATAAGGCAACTAATGGATTAATTTTTTTAAATAAGGCAATTAATGGGTTGGGAGGCTCAGACTTCCCAGTCATTCCCAACAGAAAATTTCACTAGCATTTATCTTCAAAATAACTAGCAAAAAAGCAGAGCTAGAGACCCAGCTCTGTTGGGTCTAGCTAGAGACCCACTGTAGCTCTGTTGCCCACTATTCTGGAAAGAGTTAACATTTTATGTGTTTATATGATATATTTCTTGAGATTTCTTGCTATAAAATTTAGGCTATTTAGTGACTTTTTGTTGTTGTTATTTTTTCACCCTTCTCCCTTTGTTCAATATGACATATCTGCTGATTTTAGGATAAATAATAGCATGATATCTCAAAAATTCTGAGATTTCAATAGTCCTAAGGTAAAGGAAAGAGTAAATACTGTGCAAGTTCAGAAATAATGACAGAGGATCTTGACCAGATATCACAGGGAGAGTGAATAAAGAAACATGTCAGCCTGGCCTTTCCCGTAGCTCTCACTCAGAGTCAGAGTGCTTTGCTAGGGGATCTGACACAGGCTAATAAACCAACTACAGGGGTAATCCTACTTCATCTTGCAATGTTAATGTTTCTTTGTTATTTCTGTAGGCATGGCAATTCCTCGGGATTACCCAGGCAGAGAATGAAAATGAACAAGCAGCCATTGTCGCCCTCCAGAGGTAGATGAAGCTAAATGTAAAATTATGGGAATGGTGGACTTTATCAATGGACTTGCTGTGTTTCCTGTTTGTCCTTTGACCCTTATTAAAAAACAATGTGATAAATGTGGCCGGATAAGGACAAGGATGTCACATATGAATCATACCTACCTCTGGAAGTCAAGAATTTATAATAAAATCACGTTCTTAAATCTTGCCTTCTAATCTACATAGTATCATTGATACTAGTATCAAAGAAAGTCTACATTAAAAGCAGTCATAAAAGAGACTCATTAAACCTCCTTTTAATTTTCTATCTTTTTGCAGCATCTAAACATTTTTTGAAAAAAATATACTCAAAATTCTGACTGACAATACATTTGGAAGTGGGTAAGGAAGAAAACATAAGTGTACAATCACCCACTTATTTCTTAGAGCTCTGGTTAAATTGTGGAAAAACTTTCTATAAAATAGGCTTGGTACTTTTCCTGTCCTTTCTCATGAATTCTTTTACCAGAAAGCCTTACTAAGAAAATATACATACAAATAGGGATACAAGTGGACCCATTGCAACAATGATATGTACAAGACGTTATGTCGAAAAACCAATTCACAACTTTGGCGCAGAGGGGGCGCAGAGGGGGGGAAAAGAAGGAGGAGATGGGAAGGGATGGGAAGGGGAAACAAAGGTCCTCCTCTGTACAGTATTTTCACAATAAAAAATTACAACAAAAAAGAAAATATACATACACAAATATATCCCTATATTTCATACAAATATATATATGAATGTAAATACAAAATAATTTCTGCTTGTATGAATAATAGAGCTTTGGAATATTAGAATGCCAGCATTCTTTTTTTATTCTTATATTAATAGTAAGATTTTTATTGTGAAAATACCACACAGAGGGGTTACAGGTAATGAGTGCATTTCTTATCAAGCATTGTTGCCTCCTCCTTTGTGTTTCCCTTCCATCCCTGCTTTCCCATCTCACGACTACACTGCCCTCCACCCCCCACCCCAACCCCCGCAAAAGTTGTAAAGTTCGTTTTTTGACATAAATTCCAGTGTTCTTAATCCTTGAAATTCTATTCTTTTATATTCCTATATTCCTACATTTCAAGTTTCCATTGGCACCTCCTTGGCAAAGTGCCTGGGCTTTTGCTCTTCTTTGTCAGCTGTCTCCTACAGACAGGAGAAGTGGGAATTAAGAAAGGCCAGGATCACACAAACATTGTGTGATGGATACATCCTTGACTCCAAATCTGGGTCTCTCTGCGAAGTGGTTCTTAACTCTATACACACAGGCATAGTAGAATTATTTGAGAGAGAGAGACAGAGAGATAGGGAGAGAGAGAGAGAGAGAGAGAGCGAGAGAGCGGGGTGGGGCAGGGAAATCAAAGAAAGGGAGAAAGACAGAGACATAGAGATGCCCAGGTACACTTAGAACCTATGGTTTAATTAGTTATTAGTGAGCAACTCGAGTTTAAAGTGGATTTAAATTTCCCCAGGTGTTGCTAATGCACATTTTTTCAAATGATTTATTGTGATTAAGTTATTACATAATTTCCCACATTTCACAGTATTGTGGGATAGTGATGCTTAGTTAAAGTCACAAACACATTCTAACTTTCATGGGGCAAATTGTCTATTGTGGTCTATAACATTTATGAGTTCCATGAGCTTTGCAATACAGTTATTTCTTCCACATTGCGTGATAAAGTACATTTGTTTGTTTTGCATAGCATCAGCTGATCCCTCTTTCCCACTTGTTCCCTCCCTCCCATCACTGCCATTGAGTTGCTTAGTTCATTTTGGTCAATGTCCAGTGCAGCTGATGGGTCCCTCTGTTGTATGTTTTTCCCTGATTCCCTCTCGTTCTGTGTCATCTTCCTGGTTTCCCTCCGGTATGCACATATATACCATACATGTGATCAGCAGTATGTTTTATTTAGTAGTGATTCGACCAGATGAGTGGAAGTCCTTTGTTTCTTAAGTCTTGTTAATTTTGTCATATTACCTTACATTTTGGATTTAACATCCGCTTATCAGGGAGACCATGTGCCGTTTTTCTCTTTGCTCTTGGCTTACCTTGCTCAACACGATTTCTTCTAGGACATTTAAAATTGAGAATTCAGCCAGGGCTAACATGTATCTGGGTAATGGCAAACAACAGTGGCATTCAGTGCCACCTAGGACTTGCTACTCAAAAGTCTTATCCAGATATTACCCCTCTCACCACTCTCTGAGAGCTTGCTAGACTTGCTACCCCTTGGACACCCACCCCAGGCCTACTTACTAGAATGTATAGTTGTACACAGAACTTCTACACTTTGTGTGTGTGCAGGTACCAAGGCTTGAATTCAGGGCCTCACCCTCTCAACTCGCTTGCTTGCTCACAGTTCTACCGCTTATGCCATGCTGTCAGTCCAGCGTTCTGCTGGTTGATTGGAGATGGAGTATGTCAGACTTTTCTGCCCACGCTAGCTTCAAACTGAGACACTCTGGATTTCAAACTGCCAAGTAGCTAAGATTACGAGCATGAACCACCAGCATCTTTCAGAACTTACACACTTTGAAGTTTGGAAAGTGCTAGAGGAGAGTATGAAAGCATGAGGAAGAGCAGCCATAGCCTGTCTCTCCAAAACGGCCATATTAGTAGTCTGAACACATAGAAATTTCTCCTTTCTCTGCAAAACACTACAGAGTTATCTCTGAACATCCAAATTTGGCTCACATCCAGTTTGGGAGAGAGAACATAATAGAGCAGTGTTAAAATAATGATAACCCTTACATCTCATTAGATTAACTGCTAATAATTTATGTGAAAGCATTAGCCATGCTTCCTGTCATTGTAAAACCCCTGGTTAAGATTACCAGAAATGTCAGTCTTCAGGACAATACTCATTTTCTTTGAAATATAACTTTCAAATACTGGCTAAAAACCAAAGCTGATTGTGTTTGTTTTGCTTTCTTTCAAGGTGCTTAGAATTGCAGCCTAACAATTTAAAAGCTTTGATGGCCTTAGCTGTGAGTTACACGAACACAGGCCATCAGCAAGATGCCTGTGAGGCTCTGAAGAATTGGATCAAGCAAAATCCAAAGTACAAATACCTTGTGAAAAGCAAGAAGGGATCTCCAGGCCTCACTCGGAGGATGTCTAAGTCCCCAGTTGACAGGTATCCTTCTAGTATAGCAAGCAGTAAATACTTACATACACAACTAATTGCCTTAAGATTAATTTGTGAACCTCACATCTCACTCCAGGAAGAATAGCACTTAGAAAGATGGATGCTGAGATTTAGGCCTTCTTATTAGTTAGCCTTTAAAAATCACTGTGACAAAAGGCCCTGGTAGTCAGCTTATAAGGAAGAAATTCTTGCCTTGTCTCTCAAGTTTGGAGGTTTCAATAGTCAATTGGTCTGGCTGCTTTGGGGCCTATGGTGAGGAAGCTCATATGATGGGAGCATGTGGTGGGGGAACCTTCCCACCTCATGAAGCAAAGTCAGATAGGAGGGAGCCAGGATTCCAATGTTCCTTAAGGACATGCTCCCAAGTGACCCAACTTCTTTGACCAGATTTCACCTCCCAAAGCTTCCACCAACTCCCAACAGTACCATAGGTTGGTGACCAGATCTTCAATACATGGGTTTTTGGATGATACCACAGCAGCCATCCTCCAGCTAACCTTGGTAGATCTTATGTATGCATATGATCTATACTCTGGGCACTCACATTTATCTGAGTACCATATTTTATAGCCAAATGTATCTAATTCACCTAAAGGATAGTAAGTACTGGTGCTCTGTGTTTTATAAAATCTAAGGAATGAGTAAGTGGAAGTCCTTTCTTCTAGGAATTTTACTTTCTATCCGCCACAGATCCTAATGCTAAATGCTTTCTCAGCAATACTCTGGACAACTTAGCAGCTACAGCACACACAGGCCAGCAGAACATTCCTTGTAAAGGCCTTGCTTGGTACACTCTGTATCTGTCAGCAGTACTTTTTGGGAAAACCGGTTGTATGTTCTAACACTTAGCAATAACAGCCCCATTATTTGGCTAATATAGTTTGTGGAAATTTAATCAAGTCAAACGGGTGTTAACATCCAGTCATTTATCTTTAGCCTATTTGAAATATAAATCTTTTTTTTCTCTTGTAGCTCTGTTCTGGAAGGAGTGAAAGAATTATATCTGGAAGCTGCTCACCAAAATGGAGATGTGATTGACCCAGACCTGCAGACAGGTCTGGGTGTGCTGTTCCACTTGAGCGGGGAGTTTAACAGAGCAATAGATGCATTTAACGCCGCCTTAACTGTTCGGCCAGAGGTAAAAAAAAAAAAATGCCTAGCACTGAAAGAAATCATAAGGTTCTCTGTAACCAACGTTTCTGTGGGGCTACATTTCATATATTTCGTCTACATGCTATTTCTTTCCATTGTTTAATTGGTACTGATTGGGACTGATACATCACTGTGAATATTACCTACCACTGAAATATCTAAAATAGAAATATTAATTACATGTCAGCATCAAATCCTAACTGCTGTTTGATGAAAGAAAGTCATTTTCCATGAAATTTTTTAAATAATTTACTTCACCATGATCTTAGTCAGTGAACACTGGACCATTTTTTAGCCATCTTTCTTCTTCTGCAGAGAAGTAGAGGTTTGTTGTCACCATGGCTGTGGTCATTAGGTTGATGTGATTTTTGCCATCAGGACTATTCCTTATGGAACCGCCTTGGGGCCACCTTGGCAAATGGAGACCGAAGTGAGGAAGCTGTGGAAGCCTACACTAGAGCACTGGAGATCCAGCCAGGCTTCATTCGCTCCAGATACAACCTGGGGATCAGCTGTATCAACCTGGGAGCCTACAGGTAAAGTATGTAACAGGCAAGACCCACCATGCTCAGGACTAACCTCAGAGGCAGAATCATCTCAGAGGTTATCTGCGAGAAAAGTATCTCCTTTTATCCACATATTTTCCTTTTGCTAACCCTTTCTCCCCTGAGGCAGAGGAGCTCGTGGGCTCTATCTGTGGAGAACTTCAACCATTCGAGCATCTTGGGAAGAGCAGCCCACTTACTAGAGACTGATTCAGCTGGCTGGGATTAGGACAAGTTGTCTAGGTTCTCAACATCCCTAAGAGCAACTTTCTGTGAACCATGAGCAAGCTAATCTTTTTTTATTTTCCAATTAAGAGGAGTAGGTCTCCTAATAACGGGGGACTTGGCAACTAACTTCAGAAGGTCCTCAAAGCAGCATTCAGTGAAGCAAAACCAAGAATTCAAGTTTTCTAAACTGAATATGAATAAAGTTAGAAGAGAAACAATTGAAAAAAATGAATGGGTTTATGGTTAGAAATCATTTTCTCATGACTTGTCATTGTCACTCAGTACTCCATCTTCTCTATCGTTACCCATTAACAAGGTCCTTTATTACTTAGGGCAATGGAAATGTGAAGTTATTTTCTTCCTTCTTTTTCTAGTTTAAAAAAAGTTCTAAATAAACAAATACTATTTTCATAAACATGAAAACTAAATGTTATTTTTCAACAAAATAAGACCATGTAAGCCTTTTCCTGTTCTCAGAAAGAGCCATAGTTTCATTTACAAACAAGTTTAGGCTCAAGTCACAGTTCTGCAATTTACAAGTTTTATAGTGCTAGGCATAAAATTTGAGCTGTCTCCTTGTGTGCGTGTGTGGAGAGACAGAGAATATGAATGAATATCTAGCTGGATGACTGGGCAGGTTAGATGTAAATGAGCAGATGCTCAATACCTAATAAGCATTTATTATTATGACTATAGTTGCCATCATCAGTATTCTTGATTACTTGCTTACATCAATAATCTGAGAGCAGCATTTGTTACAAACAAATGCTTTGTATAATTTTCAGCTGTTAAATATTAAAGCCTTAAAAAACAGTTGTTGCATTTTTACTTAAAGGATGTTACAAAGAACATTAGTCATTCAATTACATCATGTTCTCTGTGAAGATTTTTCTAAGATCAAAACCAGAAAGAGCTGAGTGATTCCCTGAGCAGCTTGTTTGTTTGATTTTTTTTTCTTCTTTTATTTTATTTTTTATTGTGAAAATACTGTACAGAGGGGTTACAATTACATGGGCAGGATAATGCATACATTTCTTACCAAGCATTGCAGCCTCCTCCTTTGTTTACCCTTCACCTCCCTTCCCAGACTCCCCCCTCCCCCCCACCCAATCATACCTCCCCCACACACCGACATTGTAAAGCTGGTTTTGGCATGACATTTTGTACTTCTCATTGTTGCAACAGGTCCACCTGAAAGACAAACAAGTTGTTTGTTTGATTTTTGTGGACACTCAACTTTGCTCCTACAGATGTGTTCTTCACATCCCTGTGCAAAAGCTCAGACTTGAAGCCAGAGCACTTCTCCACAGATCAGTTCTCTAGCAGAGTCAATTTTTATACTAACCTCAGTCCTAGTTTTATCTGGTTTTTCTTACCTGACTTTTAAGCACATTTTTAGGCTTTACATCTATCTATCTATCTAAATATGTGTGCATATATAATTCTCTTTTTTTATAACACACACACACACATATATATATGTGATGACACACCTGAAAGTAAACATATATAACATGTAGATATTAAATTCAATGAAAAGAAGCTTTTTTAAAGCTTCTGGATTGGATTTTGCTCATTACAACTGCTTTATATAGAAAATAGTACTTGTGGAGCCAATCAAATATATTGTTGGGGGAGGGGAGGAAGAGGAGGGCAGGGATGGTAAGGGGAAACAAAGGAGGAGGCAACAATGCTTAATAAGAAATGTACTCACTGTCTTGCCCATGTAATTGTGACCCCTCTGTATGGTATTTTCACAATAATTTTTTAAAAAAGAAATGTACTCAGTACCATGCTCATGTAATTGTAACCCCTCTATATGGTATTTTCACAATTTAAAAAACCTTATTAAGAGGGGAAAAAAGAAATTTCAGCACCACATTGGAAAAAAACAAACATATTGTTGGCATTCACAGACATAAAATTCATTGGGATAATGATCTGCCCAAGACTGTGACAAAAATGGCATTGGAAACTGCTGAAGTATGAAGTTTAAATCTTTAAGTCTCACAAGAACAGGTCAATTTGAGGTTGCCAGAATACCTGTTAAATTTCAATTTCAGAAAAATAGCGAATAATTTGAATAGTAAGTATTTCCCAAATAGTAAATGCTATTGTTCATCTGAAATTAAGTTTTTACTGTGTCCTGGATCTTTGCTAAATCTAATCCTGATCAATAATTGGCACATCTCAACTAAGCTTTATACATCTTTAAATATACCAAATGTGGGAAGTCTTGAGAAATGGTAGTTTGTTCCTAATGCAGGGGGGTGGGGGAGGAAGAAGTCAAGTGGAAATCAATTAATGCTAAGAAGTTTCACATAAACAGAAAGTATCACATAAACAAAAAATAACACTCAGTAAGAATAAGGCTCAGAAGAAAACCAGAAGCAGGTACAAATATTTGCACATGCATGAAAGATACATCCCTCAAGAACTGCAAATGTCTATGTATATAGCTATAATAACTGTTATAGCTATAACAGTTATTTGTCATTTCACATTTTCCACAAAGAATCAAAGCTAAGTCCTGGTCTGGTGCTGTACACAGTGGAAATAAAGAAAGGAGATTGTTGGTGTGAAACTTGAGTATACTTTAGAATGTTATATTTTGTTAACAGGAGCTCCAGAGTAGAACTTAGACTAATGAAACTTAACCTTATAAAAAAATGAGGAAGTTAATCCCTTTGGTCATAATACCTTTAGTATTAGTATAAAAGTGACTACAAAGGGAATGTTTTTTAAATGAATGGACTTTTCATTAAACATGACAGCAAGCACAAACAAGTTAAAGTTATATGTGCAGTAATTTTGAAAACTTGGAGATTTAATAAGGATTTATTTTAGTTTAACAAGGTTAAAGTAGGGAGAAATAGAAAAGGAGAAACATATCTTGCTCCTCTTGAAGAAAATGGAAATGAAAGACTGAAAACTTTTTATATAAATATATATATACAATATTCTGAATCCTCAGAAGGACAGCAAAGGAACAATATTAGACTATCTTACTTAAAAAATCCTTTAGCAGCTTGACAAATTTAATAACTCATTCTTCTCTTTCTCTCCAAATACCTCTGACTCAAGACTGCTCAAGACTGAGAACATCTAAAGAAGGGGAATTCTAAGATCTTCTTCCCCAGAGTTCTCACATGTCTAGGAGTATGAAGGCAAACTCAGAGAGACATTGCTGTTCAAGCTACCACCCCGTGAGGAGGGCCAGAAGAGACTGTACTGTGGATTCCCTTTGCCCATACATTAATAAATCATTCTACTCTTGCTTGAGTGATCAGGAACCCAGAACAAGGGTGACTAGGAAACCCACGCTAATTCTTTGCCCAAGATTACAAACAACATGATTTTCTCCAGCTGCATTTTCTGTCCAAGCTGATCTAACAATATGCACAGCATATGCCTAGTTCATGTGTGTTAGAATTGGAAATCCAGCCTCACTGGGGATTTTTCTTGGATGCTTAATAACCACCTTATTGGATTAAATGAGATCAAGTATGTAAAAAGCTTTTGAGAAAAGTACAGCAGATACAAATGAAGGTAGAATGATTATTCTTGCAGTAATCCATTTTTAAGTGTACAATACAAGGTTAGAGAGATGCAGAACTGCTGGGGAGGCTGACGCCACACAGGGACATATGGTGTCCAGGAGCAGTAATGCACTAGAACTGCTTTGGCACCTAACTCTTCTGTGTTCTCAGGAGTCCTTTATCCTGACAGCAGTTATTGAGAATGTCAAAAGGCTTTTGTTTATATGGCTTATATCCATCAACATTTATAGTATCAGATTGAGAACATTTTTTAAATTTGATAGAAAACTCATTGTATTTTACTGTAAATAATATATTTTATAAGACAATAGATGTTTTCCAAAACTATGTTTAGAGAGAACAATGACATTATGTCATATATTTTGAAAATGTCTTGCTCACAAGCCTTGAAAATATGAAGTTTGTATAAGACTAAGTAATTGAGACTCAAGCCCATATATTCTAAAAATAAAGGCAAGTTCCACCTCGACCTACATCTCATATTTCTAGCAGGAAAAATTACACTACTTTATTTTGAGTGGAGCAAATTCTCTCTCTTAAGATCTACTTATATAAATCCCATCTGCAAATGGATTAAACCTTTGCCATCATTCCTAGAGTAGGGGAAAATCAAAAGCATGAATGAGTCAGTCAGCAATGATTGTTCTTACTCCTTTCCATGCGCCATTCCTAAAATAGTTGGCTTCCTTTCTGTGTTAACACAAAAGAATAACAAGAAAATCAGGAAGTTGTTTTTCTGATCATGTAACCCAGAATAGAAGTAATTCAGGATTTTGTACTGAAAGAACTTAATATATTCGTTTAAGCTTGCTACCTCTGAAATTATTCGCATTTTAAGATTTTTCAGATTTCTTTTTCTCCCCTCTTAGAGAAGCGGTCAGCAACTTTCTCACTGCCCTCAGTTTGCAAAGAAAGAGCAGGAATCAACAGCAAGTTCCTCATCCTGCAATCTCTGGTAACATCTGGGCTGCCCTCAGAATTGCCCTGTCTCTGATGGACCAACCAGAACTCTTCCAAGCAGCCAACCTCGGTGACCTGGATGTTCTTCTAAGAGCTTTCAACTTGGATCCTTGAAGGAAAAACAAAAAGAGTAAACATAAAGAATAATAATCCCTCGCCTGTGTTATTGTACTGACAAGTGAAAAAATATTTTATTATGAATTTCAAAAAAGATATATCAGATATTCAAAAGGCCATGATCATATAACCCAAGGGAATTAGTTCCCACTGACAATGCCCAATCTCTGTTCAGATCTAGAAGCCCAAAATGCTGTAAACAGAGCCAAGGTCAGATACAAAAGAAGAATTGAAAGACTGAAGATAAACCAAGATAAAGTATGAGTACTCTTCAGGAGTTGCAAGTGTATTGTAAAACATGTTCTTTGGATGTCTTGTTTCCATCTGCCCCTGAGGGCAAATCTGAGGAAGTTGTTCAAGGGACTCATGAAGAAAGCCCTGCCTGAGTTGAGGGAATTCAGACTATTTCTAACCTGTCCCCTGAAATTCCCTCTTTCGCAAGACTGAACATAGTTTGGGCCATTGGTGCATGCACATATATTAACTCAACTAAAGACACACATTGCTTATCCCTGCTCCAGTTTTCACTTTTATTGTAGCCCTTTATTTCCAGAGAGGGAGCTTTGCTGGCAAAAGCAGTTTTGCACTAGAAATTTTTGCTGTTCCCAATCAAAACTTTTCTGGGAATGTATATATGCACTTTAATATCTTACTTATGCCTTGCTGGAGGTTTGTTTTGTTGCTCCAATTTTTAACTTGGGTGTGAAAGGTTTGGGAACTGAGAATTGTTAAATGGACCAAATAAAATGTTATGGAAAATACTTTTTCATAGTATAAGACTTTGAAGGAGTGTTTTCCTTAAAGCAGACATGACATAGAGTGTGAATATGTCAAACACATATTACTGACATGCATTTTGAAACTGTATGAACATCAGTAAGAGACAATATACTGTCTCTTCGTGCATTCTCTGCAGGGAAAAACCTCGATAAGACCATGCTTTCTACTGAGTTCGCATTAACTTTGCTTAACTGTCATATTTTGCTGGCTTTCTAACTGCCCTGCACAACAATATTCCTTTTAAACTGTTACTATTTGAAATTATATTTCTTGAGTGATAAGTACATTTTTCCTTAAAATGATGTGTTTCCTCAGTTCCATACTAACCTGAACCGTTCACCTTCTTGCACTGTAAGCAATAGATCAATATTTTGTCACTAGATGTTAATGGATGTCTGTGGTTTACTATGAAAAATGCATGCCCCTGTGGCACTTATTTTAAACAGCAAGTATCAGGAATTTTCTATTGGAAGGCATTTTATGTGATTGGTAAATTTCCACTTAGTGTTTTAGAGTATTTTGTGAGTGTTTGGAGCTTGGTAATTCTATTGAAAGGTACATTTTTTAAAAGTATTAGAACAAGTATTTGCAAAATGCTAACCAAAATATCATTTTCCCCAGGTCCAGTTCTAGGAAGTTGACCTATTCTTTCTCTCCTTTCATCTTCCACAATCTTCTCCCAACTTTTATATAGTCTTTGATTATGAAAATTCTGTCTATAAATATAAAAATTGAAGTCAGCCAGGCACTGGTGGCTCATGCTTATTGGGGAAGCTGAGATCAGAGGATTGCAGTTCAAGGCTAGCTAGGCAGGAAAGTCCATGAGAACCATCAAAAAGCTGGAAGTGGAACTAGGGCTCAAGTATTAGGACACCAGCCTTGAATAAAAAAAAAAAAAACTAAGGGACAATGTCCAGGCCCTGAATTCAAGCCCCAATACTGGCACCAAAGAAAGGAGAGGGGTGTCAAGGCCTGGGGAATTGACTACCAGTGAGGGAGAAATGTGCACACATGCTGAGAGATTAGATTACTATGAGTCTCTGTGTGGATTGAAGTCCAGTAATATTACCTTAAGCCCATGGGTTGTGAAGGATCCTTAAATTAAGACTGCATGCAAGTCCTTGAGGCTTATCGATACTATAGCCTACTAGTTTACAAAGACTAGGTGAAAGCAACATCATGGTCATAGGCTTAGTTGTTCACCAGTGAAGCCTCAACAGAGTAAAGTAATGGCTCCAACTGGACAGCAGGCATTAAGGCATTCACCCCTGAGCATAAGTGACTACCCACTGTTGAACCATGTTTCTCTAAGTCTGTGCAGACAACTAAAATGCCACAATAGTTTCAAAATGGCACTCTGTAGAATGTTAGGAATTAGAAATAGGCTGGGAAGAATTCTGGGTACCAGTCTCTAGCTCATGACAACTGCCTGCTTAAATATTCTCACCTCCTGTTCCCCCTCCACCCCACTCTCACCCCGTGCTGTATATTTGCAGACTAGGCAGTTGAGTTGAATCCATCAGAGGCCATTAAGAACCTCTGAACAAAGGATTCTCCATGAACCTTTCCTGTCTGTGATGGTCTTCTAGAGGCAACTGAATTTGCAATGATAAAGGTATGCAGCATTCTCTATCCAGCTGTAACTACATACTAGAGATCAATCACAGTTCAAACCCCTAAAGTAATAAGAAGTGCAGCAGTTTGGTTTATTTGTTTGTTTTATTTTACTATTGGAATCCAAAGTAATTTCAAACTTCAGGAAGTTGTTTCAGGGGAGATATACCCAGTATATCTGCTAGTGTCCATCAGCACTAAAATTTTTTAGTCTATTGTCTGTCAAAACATCCAGAATTAATGCTTAAAATTTTTTCATTATTTAATAATGCCTTTACAAAATCAAGTAAAATGATCACTTAAAAATGAATGAAACTTCATAGAAAGAATATCACCACAAATCAAACAGAAAAACAAGAATGTTCTTTATTCACTATATAATATGCATTTTAATATGTACATGGTTCAGAAGGCAGACCTGTTTTGGGCATCTCATTTTCAGGGCAAGAAATTGTCATTTAAATTGCTCTTTCCAGTCAGAAAATTGTCTCGGCCCCTTTGGAGAACCTCTGGGAAAGCTTTGAGCATGTCAGTGAGAAACAACAGGCCAAGAGCTCTTGAAGGGCAAGACTCATTTGCTATATGAGCCCTCAGTTACACTAAGGTACTTTCAGGCACTGACAGTACATTCCATGGAGGAAAGCTCAGAAAGAGCCAGTGTTGTTTGCTGAGCTTCAAAATATATAACTATATCTGGTAAGTCATATCTATGTGCCACTCCTAATCTGTGAGGAAGACTGGGTTAATTTCAGTGACCCTGCATTCCCTCTGTATTCTTCAAACATCATCAGAAAACTTTAATAGAAAACTAGGAAATATGTTTTTTCAGCCAACATAGATTCCACTAGAATGGTAAATGTGTAATACAGATCTGGGTAGGACATAGTTATGTTCAGAGTGTCAGATCATATTCTTTCATAATAGGGCAATTATTAGGTTGGTCATTGGGCCTATGTCTAAATCCTTATACAGATGAATCTTTCTTGCCACACAAACAAGACTGGGACAATAGTACTAGTCTCATTTAAGGCTCTTAAACTCTTTCCCCAGTAAATTGTCCAAGAGTTCCTGAGGCATATAGAGGAAGCAAGACAGTCATTTTGTGTGCCTTCCTCATTCACCCCTGGATCATTTCCAGAAGACTAGACTGAACTTCAAGGTAGTTGTTGTACTGGAATTGATGTGGTTGTTTAAAGACCCCTTGAAATGCTTCTAGAAACATCCTGGAAACAGGGTATTCAGTAGGTTTATTCATTCATGTGCCATCTGTTTAAGCCCTCACAGTTCAGAGATTATTACATAGACACAAACCTGATTTCACCTTTGAAAAGAGTTTAAAATTCATTCTCCATTCAGACTGTCCTACAATCTTCCTCTCATCTCAATGTTTGTAGAACTGGTTGAAATTAAGCTGTTTTGAATGAAGAAGTAAATACATATATATTTTTAAAGTATTCATAGATGAGCTCTGACAAAGTTTGTAAAAAGGCATTTTTTTTTAAAAAAAGCAAAACATGTAACCTCAGGTACAAAAATATTGCATGCATAAGTACTTACAAATCAGCCTACTCAAATAATAACCAAAGCATGCAATGTAACTTTACTGAATGTAAACTCACACAGTGCATGATCCAGTCTCATAGATTAGATTTTTTTCCTTGCTTCTGAACAGGAATTGTCATGAACTTCTTGTTTTAGTTTTATCTGTTTGCTTTAATTGTCCTGCCCTTGAGATTCTCATGCTTTCAGACTGAACTTGACAGCTGGGATCGTTCAGCACTGTAGCCAGTGTTGAACTAATCTCTGAGGAACCCAGGTATGGAAGTCCATGTGCAGTTTTTTTTTTTTTTTTGATTGGTCATGGGGCTTGAACTCCTGGCTTGGGCACTGTCCCTCAGCTGTTCAGCTCAAGGGGAGCGCTCTACCGCTTGAGCCACAGGGCCACTTCCAGTTTTCTAGTGGAGATAAGAGTCTCACAGAATTTCCTGCCGGGGCTGGCTTTGAACTGTGACCCTCAGATCTCAGCCTCCTGGGTAGCTAGGATTACAGTCGTGAGCCACAGGTGCCCGGCTCCATGTGCTTTTCTTTCACAGAAGCTGAGGCACAATGGAACCAAATCTGAAACAAATCCATGTGTCTGAATGCTACTAAACTAAATTATGTTTTTACCTCAGCACAAAAAAATATTAGACTCTAAATTCTTGATGATGTATTTCAAAAGAAATGTAAGTCTAAGAATTAATTAGCGAAACATATTTTAAATACGGAAGGTAGATTAATGTCAGACATATGAAAATCATGATAAGGAAAAATTTAAATGGGGCCTGTTATGGAGATGACAGAATGTAGCACAGAGTTGAGGGCAGGGCATAATTCATGGCATTCAGACAGCCATCTTTGTAGTCATTTGGGTTAATACCCTTTGAGAAACTGGATTTGGATAATAGGTGTAAAAATAGTGAAATCAGGGCATGTAAGGTAATTTCATGGTCACTAAGATTCAGCTCTGAAGTCTTCTGTTGCCTTGTTCTATGACCCTTATATTATGAGAAGACTGGAAATGGAGAGATCTCAATAAGGTAGTGGGGGGTCTTATATAATAACAGCTTTATTACCCCTTTGTTACAGTCTTATATTCTCACATACAAACACACAATCTCAAAGAACTGAATCCCACCCTCCTCCCCTCACATACAAACACAATCTCAAAGAACTGAATCTCACCCCCCCCACACACACACACAGGCAAAAGACCATTGTAGGGAGGCATTTGAATATATAAGATACAATAAAAAATAGAAAATTAAGGAATGAGCCTCTCCTGTGGTACTCTGCCTTTCAGTTTCCCTACCAACATCCTTTGCAGAAATACTAAAACAACACACTATGAAACAAGGGTCCAGTGTTGGACTACCTTCTCAGGACCTGCTTTCTACCAGAGAAAACTTTCAGTGTTGCAGTATACAGCTCAGTAGAACACTTTTAGAAGAATCTGCCCTGATAAGAACATTAACACAAAAAATAGCAATGAAGTAATTCTTTGTTCAACAATACAATGTGTAAGTTTTAATTTGGGTTTTTCTTTGAAGTTTTTAGAACAGGAAATGGTACGACACAAACAGGAGTAAGGGAATACACACTCAACTAGGTAATTTGAACACTAGACATTTTCACTAAGATATGCAACATTTTTTCATGGATATCATAAAAGGATTGGGCCATGTGAAAAAAATGTGCTTATTTTAAACTAAGTTATCAGTAGTGAAAGCATTCACAGTAAATTAAAATTTTTACTAATTTCCTTTAATTTTCATAAATATCATCTGACCCAAGCCCTTCTGAATTATGATTGCTCAAATTTGTTTACATTGGTTGAAAAAATTGATTTAATAAACTTTTTACAAACTATAACAAGCATTTATTAACTATTTAGAAAGGACATTTATATATATTTTGTATATCTATAAATATTACATATATAGTCTAAAAATATTGTTTGAGAAAAATTCTGTGATGCTTCCTCATTATGGTCAATAATGTTTAAATTTTGGGGATTCATTTTCAAGCTGAAATGGCTATCAGAAAAAAATTAACTTTAAATGTTTACGAGTTTCTAAACTAATATGAACCTAAATTAAATGATCTATAATAGTAAACTAATGGCAATGGGGCATCTAAAAGTTACGATATACTATGTGGTGGTTACTGTGTGACTTAGTGAAATAATATGTATCATAGCACAACTGTGGGGTATTAAGGCTTCGTCTTAAGTCTTTCTCTAAATTGCTTTTTGAAATAAAATTATAACTATAAAAATAATCTCTTGATGTGTTTAATTTACTCAGATGGCTTATGATTTGCAAGATTAAGGTAGTATTTTTGTACTATTATTGGAGGGATGCCTTCCCTTTTTCACAGTATTAAATTGTATTTC